TTGCCACGATGGCGGACCCGGCGACTCTGGCACTGGGGAGCGATGCCGAGGCGCAGGCTCTCGCGATCTGGGCGCGGCAGGGCCTTGCCCGTAAGGGCATGAACGTTCGGTTTGCCGCCGAGGATGCCGTTCCCGATATCGTTATGGCGCAGAGCGCGGGTTCTGCCCTTACCCTTGATCCCGAAGGCCGCATTGCCGTTTCGGGTGAGCCGGGTATCGAAGCCTTGCTGGCAGCCCGCATGTCGGCCGCCTTCATGCCCACCCCGGATGCCTGGCCGGTGACGGTGGACCAACTTTCCGCTGAAACTCTCCTCAAGAACTTCCGTGGATCGCGGCGCTGGACAATTCCCTACGCGCTGGCCGATCTCCCCGGCGGTCTGATGCCACGGCGCTTTGCCATCGATCTCAAGACTTCGACACTGGCGCCCGGCAATGACTGGGTTGTGCGCGTTTCGCTCAACGGAAATCTGCTCAGGACCGAGCGTTTCGACGGGCAGGGCGATGCCATTTCGCTCGATGTCACATTGCCCTCCGAAATCCAGGCGCTGTCCAACGCCATTCTTGTCGAACTGATCGATACCAGCCCCAATGACTCTATCTGCCGGGTCGGTCCCGACGCGCAGGCGCAGCTTTTGCCGACCTCGCGGTTGACCCCGCAGGGTGTCCAGCCTTCTGCCGGGTGGCCGCAGATGATGCGCGTGCTGGCTGCAGAGCCGACCATCGGGCTCACGGTTGCAACGGCCCTGTCGCCGGCTGAAGCCCGGACGACCGCTGCGTTGCTGGGAAGTTTTCTGCCTGTGCAAAGCGGTGTGGTGTTCGGCGCCGAGGCAGATACGGCGGCAACGAGGGTTGAGGTGACCACGGCAGGTGGCTTTAGATCCGCGCTGCGTCTGGCGGGTGAAATCGGGGACGGTGCGCAGTCGATTTGGCTCGTGGTTCCCAATGGGGATAAGGATGCGAGACTGATCGCGGTTTCCGATCCGCGTACTGCTGCGCTGATCGAGCCTTTGGATGATAACGCAGCGGTCATGCTGATTGACCGCTGACCATGCTGCAGCGCGCTCCAGGGGACCACGACTACTGGTCGGTGGACAGTAGGCCGCCAACGCTGACACGGCCGCTTTCGGTCTGGGCGGCGCCGACTCTCCTGGTGATATTCACGGCGGTGGCCGCGGCATTGCTGGCCGTCATTAGCGCCGAGCCGTTCGCCGCCATATTTCCCAATGGTGATGTTGTGTTCTCTCCCTATTTGGGCGTCCATTCCATCCCGCTGCGCATTTTCATAGTTTCGTTCATCGTCGCCTTTTCGGCAGTAGTGGGCGCCAGGGCGCCCCAGCGGCTGCGCTTTTTCCTCGAAGTCACGCTCTATTACATCGTCGTGTGCGCCGCGTTCGATCTCATCAATATAGCGGCCTACCGGCTGACCGGATTTGTTTATTCGATCCATGTGGTTGAAATCCTCTCCGGGCTGTTTGGCTTTTATATCTTCTCGATCCGCCTGCTGGACCAGGGAACGATGCCTCTCCGCGCCCCATTCGCGCCGTTTAGCGCGCGACTTAAGGCGGCGTCTTTCGTCCTGATCACGCTGGCCGTAACCGCCGCCATCGCCGTGTCTGTGTGGATCGATAGGCTAGACCTGCCGCTGGTCGATGACCTGCGGTCGGTCGCCTTGCTTGGCGGGATAGGACCGGGAGTGTTTCTGTTTCTGCCGGTGCTGTTCTTCCTGCTCTATGTGCTCGGGACGCTTCGCGCCTTTCTGCGGCGCAAGCGCGAATATTGCCCGCCGGTGACCGTCATCATTCCGGCCCACAACGAAACCCACATCCTGCCACGCACGCTGGCCGCACTCGAGAAAGCGGCCGCGCAATATGGTGGCGACGTGCACGTGCTGGTGCTCGACAATTGCTCGACCGACGGCACCGCCCAGACAGCGGTACGGTCCTTCGCGGAGATGGCGCAGCTATGCGGACAGGTGGTCGATGTGCCGGTGCCGGGCAAATCGAATGCGCTCAATGCGGGCATCGCCCTGACCAAGACCGAAATCGTCATTCGCATCGATGCCGATACCCAGGTTTCCTCGGCCTCGATCCGCCGGGCGGTGCGCCATTTCTGGCGCGGGGACGTCGGAGTGGTCGGCGGATTGCCGATTGCCCCGGGCACGGGGAAATTTGACAGCGCGCGTAATCTCGAAACCCTGCTCAAGCACGGCTATTACCAGGTGGCCTATGGTGCCCTTGACGCCATTGTCGGCGTGCCCGGAATGCTCGCCGTCTATCGCACACAGGCGGTGCGTGACGCCGGGGGCTTTACGGGCGGCATGAACGGGGAAGACACCGACATGTCGCTGCGCATCGGTGAGATGGGATTTCGCATCGTCGGCGATCCGACCGTCACTTATGTCTCCGAGGTGCCCGCAAGCTGGAAGCATCTGCGCGAACAGCGCATGCGCTGGTTCCGCTCGGTCTATCACGTCTCTGCGCGCAATCGCGACTATCTCGACGGCTGGACGCCATCGGTGCGCGGCAAGATCATTCTGCCGTTCATGCTGCTCAATTCGGGACGCCGGGCCATGACGGTCCCGCTGGTGATCTTTGGCGTGCTCTATTACTTCGTGGGCTTTAACCCGCTGAGCCCTCTAACGCTGCAGGCGGTTATCGCCGTAACCATGGGCGCGCCGGCTCTGATGGCGGCCTTTGCGGCGCTGGCTAATGGACGGGCAGGGGCCCTGATCGGGATCCCGGAATACCTAGTGTTCAGGCTGGTGCGATCATACCTGACCCTCGAATCCGTATTGTCGATCGCTTTCGGCGAGACAAGGGCGCGGGAGGTGCCGCTTCGGCTATCGCCGCCCGATGTGACACAAGATAAAATGCAACCGACTTCCTAAAACGCCCGTTGGTTCACAAGGTCCATAGTGACCCCGCTTCATCCCGTCGGGTGAAGCTGGAGAACCTGCGCCATGCGCTACCCTCTTTGGGCGTTTCTGTTCGTCTTCGTGCTGCCGCCCTTCGCGCTGCACGCGGCGCTTGTCGGCAAGGCAGGGTTTGATGCCAGACCGGCGCCGGTTGAGCGGATTGAAGCCGCTAGGCTGCCGGAAACCAATACCATCCCCGTCTCACGGCACGCATTCTAGTTACCATCCTCAGATGAACTGGTTCTCGCCTACCAGCCCAGGCTCTGGCGGGTTTCCTCGCGCCAGAGGTTCCAGGCCCTCATGCCGGCCGTCTGGTTCGGACCGTCCGCGAGGGCGCCTTCGTCGGGCGAAAGGGCCGCAATCGTGCCGCCCTGGGCAAGGCCATGCGCGGCGGTCTGGATGCGCGCGTTGACTTCGGTATAGACGGCGCGGAACACGGCGACCTCCAGGGTCGGACCACAGGCGACCGACCCATGCGCGCGCATCAAAGCCACGTCCCTATCGCCGAGACAGCGGGCCAGTTCCTCGCCCTTATGGCAGTCGCAGACCAG